AATATTAATTAAATGTTAATAAAGTAAAAAAATAATGAAGATACACAATTTTTTTAATTTTTATTTCTTAGAATATTCATACTTAGGGTAGGGCGTTATGGAAAAAATTTAATTGACAAAGGGTGCTGCGACTAGGAAAAGTTTGGGAATCACTGCCTTACCCTCTTCTCCCGCTCCCGCCCTATCACAACTTCTGACTAGTTTATATTCCGTTCCTCAAGAGGTGTGCCTTTTTAGCGAGTTAAGTGTAACGTCATCACATCTGCTCTTTACCTTGCATCCCCACTCCATTTCGATTAGCTGACCCGATTTGGACCTCCTATATGGATCTCTTTCTGGCCCGCAAATCCGTTTCTTATCTTTCTTTTGACCGATTTCACTCGGTTCCAATCCCATTGTACGTTTTACTCCAGGTGCTATTTCTCAATCTCTAAGACGCACGTACATTGTCGCCTTACCGAGCAGAGCGCCTAGACTCTTATTTTCATACTTTCAGATATTAGGCTTTGCTTTCAAGGCTCGTCTAGTATTAATTAGCTAGAGCTGGACACAAATGCAATCCCATAGCTAGACCTCTATTGTGCCCATATAATTTACCATTACAGATAATTTACCATTCATCATTAAGTTCGCCATTCTCATGATTGATTTCCTGCTTATCTTATTTCTGTGTGTTGGTCTAATATTAATCATAGAGCCTGTGTGGCCCAACTTACCAGTATATTCGTGCACATCGATACTATATCAAAGCTTACAAGTGAATCGTCCTGTTCTATTATTTTTTTATCTATTAACTTAATAAAGTCATAAGAATTCTTTATTGAAAATTGCCAAAAATCTGGGGTCTGCTTTAATTGATCACAAATAAATCGTGATGCTCTATGCATTACACAACCCCTATTGTGGGGCCCCTTTGTGGTGACTTTTGGGAAGACCATTCGCATTGGGAGGCCCAGCATTGCGTCGGACAAGTACATTCATTTTCAATTACTTCAATTCTTCACTAATAATGTATCGTTGCAGGCAAAACGTAAGCATCAGATTTAGTGTTTATGTAGGTTCATTAATTATTTTCTATACGAACTATAGCTAAAGTCCGCATTGTCTTTTCTATATGATCTGCCATATCCATAATTACTACTGCTCCTCTTTTGTCTGCCCTCAAATCTCTTTGTTTCTATTCCCTAAGTATCTTTGTAATATTATTAAACCACCTATTCTTATTTGGTATTTCTACATGGCTATCAATTAGAGGAACAACTTTTCTTTCGATCTCACTTGAAATTCCTGCTAGTCTGCCAACAAGTTTAATTATTTCCACCAAGTTTTCTTCAGTGAAACTTACTATTTGGCAATGCATAATCAAGACCTTTAGATAGAATCTATTTAGTAGCAATGTCTATTGGCCTTTTAGACAAGGTGATCATCCTATCCTAATTTTGACTTTTATGGATGATTATGCCTATTCCTTAATGGCCTAATTCTAATTCCCAAATTCACATGTTAATTATCGTGCATCTTTCTTACCTGACAAAACACTACATCATATAATGTATCTGGTATCGATTATAGCTTCAGGAAATCCTCCAAATTAAGAATGTCTGACTGTGATTGCCTGGTTTTCGTTATGCGTAATCTTGAAATAATTAGTAGGAGTCTTTCTTCAACCAAACCATGAGATACCTTTATAAGATCCTTCTTAGTTCTAATTTTAAATTAGGTCTATCAAGAATAAAAAACTTAGGAATACCAATATGCGAGGAACATACTCTGGGCAATTTAATTTAATTAATTTGCCTGGTTATTATTTTGTTGGTCTTAGTGTAAAGTGATGAATTTTGCAAACTTTGGTCTCTACGCCTACTTCGGCGACATAATGAGAAGCTGGGTTTCAAATAATTCTTGTGTAGATTGAGGCTGGCATAACTTTCATTACGTTTGAAAATGCGGGTCCAACGGATTTGTAAATTGGTTTCACCGGCTACCAAAGTAGGGTTTCCTTGGACTTGTGACTGTTGGATCGTGCGAAGAAGATTATATCTCACCGTCCTGCGATCCTGATAAATTCATGCGGTCCGAAATTTCCAACTAACTAATGAGTATTGCATAAACACAACGTACAAGCATTCAAGGACCTAAAGCAAGCTTCAGTATTGAAGGATCATACACTAGTTTATTTACACAAGGCAAACATGTTACCACATCTGCTCTCTTTCCTACATCAATCTCGTCTACAAGAATGTTGGACGAGCAGAATGTAACGAACCAAATAATGGAATTTCAGTTTTAGTTTTTTTTGTGACGAGCAGTCACAGATTCGTTTGGCTTCTAGCAAACGAATTTATATTTAGTTTTTGATTAGGTTTTCGAGACTACTAGCAACTCAGATCTAGGAGTTTAAGGTGATAAAAAACCTACTCACAAACCAAATATAAGTATTGTAGCCGATTGCTATAGTAAATATAAGCTTGCTTTATCGAAAATTCACCAAATAATGTAATATGGGAAAATGCCTTGCCTTCCTTGAAGCTCACATCTTCCCTTTGACCCAAGGGCACTCGTTGCAATGCGGCATGATGGCTAAAGTGTCGAGCTTATACGCTGCACTGTCATGGGTGTGTTGATAAGACCTAGGCGAGGTCGAAATTTCAGTCCACTCCGGATGAGAACATTTTTTGGTAAAACAAGGTTATGTGAAATTCATTGAAAACGTCAGCTCTACTCATAGCATTGTGGGAAAATTCAACTATTATTCCTTCATCACTTTAAGCGGAGCAGGGGGAACTTAACTCATAAAACCATTTATGATTGTGCCCTATAACCTCCTTTTATATAGTTCTCGCATTTTCCTTTAACTCGTCAATGAAAATTCCTTCTTTGTTTCGAAAGGAAACTTTCTGAGTTTTCGTTTTTATATTGAAAACTATCGTTAAAGACGGAACTCATTCTTTCAAAAGCTGCTAATGAATACATATACACTCTTTCCCTTTGTTTGTACATTACAATTTACCTTTAAAAAAGCCATCCTATTTTTACAGCTTGACGTATATGCTTCTTCTTAATAAAAAATTATTTTGTAGATCCATCTTTGATCCTGTAATGGCATAGGCTTCTCTAACACCCAGGCTGCATTTGTATATGAAATGTATTCACTCGATTTCGTGGTATTGTAGATTAAGCTGCATTGCCTTTAAGTATCCTCCATTTTGAAAGTGCTCTGACGAATAGTATCCCAGCAAATCATGTATGCATTTGAAAATTTGCTGATGATTAAGGCTATTTAAAGTACGACTGTATTCTCATTGGTAGCAAAGTAATTGCATATCGTCATTTGCATCCATGCATTCTTAAATTGGCATCTTGAGGCTTCATGTTTATTCATATACCCTTTCTCAAAACATACTTTATCACTTTCTTTATCTTATCATTTCAAGCTAGTTACATCACCTCGAAGTCGACAGTATGCATGTCCACTGCGCTCTCCATCTCATCGTCAATCTAGTGGATTTTCTTCTCAACCTACCTCCAAGAGTTCTCCTACGGAAAAGTCCTCGTGTCACCTAACTGCTACTTCACAATCCATTCCGTTGCCATTGTCCAATTCTTCTCGGGCTCCTCAGCCCTCTTCTTCAAAGCCATCCTATCCATCTTCCAGTGCTGCTGCCAGCACATGTATAAGCACGAGTGTTACACAAAATCAGTCAGTATTAGGTCAATCACCACATTCGCTAGATCGCCATTCTCAACCCAAGACTGCTACTTCGATCTTATTGAAGAAAGGCCGTCAATTTGCATCTGGCGAGCAATCTACCCGTGCATCTACCATCAAATCGAGCTTTCAGCAACCGTCATCTACTCCACCATCTTTTGGGAAGCATTCTAAATCGAATGAAGTCGCTCCTGACCCACGCAAGAAGCCGGTTCATGTGATCTGTGATGAAGCTAAATCGCATAATCGTAGCCGGCACAAACACAATCACGACCATCGCCATAATAAGGGACGCTATGCACGTAAAGAGCATAATGACTCTCAAGTAAGCCCGGCTAATCAGAATTCATCTATAAAGTCGCATGCCAAATACAAACACATTGGGAGCAAGCAGTCTCAAAATAGTAAACATATGCGTCCTAAGCCATTATCTGGGAGCGCCAATAGCTTGCCTAGCCGATCAGGATCGAGTCTGGGGAGGACGCAAAAACGATCTGGGAATAATTTGAGCCAAGCCAGCAAGCGCCGAGGATCCCCTCTGGCTTCCACTTCTATATCCTCATCTCCACTTTCTTCGCTTTC